GCTCTGTCCAGACTTGCTCCCTGTCGCCTCTGTCCCGGCCAGCAGGCAGACAGGAGTTCCTCGGAAAACTCCCCAGCAGGCTTGGGGGGTCCCTGCAGCCCCATTGTAGGCTCACGCTTTCCTTCTTGGCGCAAAAAGCTCTGCATCTGGGTCCCCTTGCCCACCACCAGTCCCCATTCACCGGCTCCCGGGGGAGTGAGCAGAGGCCCGGGGCCCAGCGGAGACACTCACCAGGTCAGCATCACTCCAGACAGGAACGTGGACACATAGTGGTGAGACACCCACCAGCCTTTGATTCTCAGAGAGAAGAGAAGGAGAAGGCGCTCAGGCAGGGAGAGAAGCGCAGGTGTCTCCCTGCTTCCCAGCCGGTGTCTGTGGGCGGTGCTCTGTGGCCCAGAGGCAAGCCTCTTGGAACAAGAAACCATCCAGGCCATGACCCTCCCCTCTCTCTGTCCCATGAGCCGAACAGTCAGAGAACCAGAGGGCACCTGGGCCTCCAGCAGCTTCCCACTACCTTCAGAACACACCCCGAACCTCACCACGACACCAAGCCCCCCAGCCTGGCCCCCACCCTAAGAGGCTCCAGGCATCCTTTTCACTGAAACCCCCAGACCCATTGCTACCTCAGGGCCTGTTACGGGCTGAACTGTATCCCCCCAAACTGCTGTGTTGAAATCCTAGCTCTAGGACCTTAAAATGTGACTATATTTGGACCTAGGATGTAATGAAGGTTAAATGAGGTCATAAGGGTGGGGCCCTAATCCAATAGGGCTGGAGTCTTTCGAAGCAGAGGATGAGACACCAAGGGTGTGCGTGCTCACAGAGCAAAGGCCCTGTGAAGACGCAGTGGCCATCTGCAAGCCAAGGAGCGGCCTCCGGAGAAACCAGTCCTGCTGGCACCTTGACCTTGGACTGCTAGCCTTCAGAATTGCGAGAAAATAAATTTGTGCTGTTCAAGTCCCCTAGTCTGTGGTATTTTGTCATGGCAGCCCAGGCAGACTAATGGGGCCTTCAAATCTGCTGTTCTCTCTGCCCCAAGCCCTTGGCCTGCCTGCTCCTGGTCCAAATTCAAGGTTTGAGCCAAGTGTCACCTCCTCCAAGAGGCCTTCCCTGGCCACTTATCTAAAACGGCTAGACAGCACCACCCTGGGTCACATTAGCCCACTTCATTTTCTTTATGGTGCTTGCCACTATCTGAAATTATTTTTTTCCTGTGTGGTTCCTGAACAACCTTCCCCACTCAAAAGAGCAGGGATTTTGTCTTTCTTGTTCAGCGATGTATCTATGGCACCTGGCTCAGAGCAGGTGCTCAACAAGCATGCTGAGTAAATACAGAACATACGCACACAAGTGCGCAGAGCTGCAGCTCCCTGCGCTCCCCACACGGATACAGGCTGTACACGCAGCATCTCACCCCATCCCAGACGCAGCTTCTCTCTGAGAGCCCCACGTACCAAGCCGGTCTGCTCCCTGCCCACAGGCCCGGACTTCATTCATCCAGACCAGAAGCTGCAGGGTCCTTGTGTCAGAACCCAATGGTCCCCCTGCTCAGGACCCTCACTCCACAGTGGTGGAGGGAGCCTGGTGGTCACCCCCTCCCCAGCGTCACAGGCAGCCTTTATTCTTCAAAATCCCTGAGTGCGTCTCAGGCCTCTGCTGGCCTCCCGGGACCCTCTCCAGGAGCTCAGTTATTGAAACACAACATGACAGCGATCTGCTTTGGCAAATGCACCCTGGGAGCAGCCAGACTCCTTCCTCCCAGGGACCAGGCAGTAGGGGTGGGGATGCCTGAGGCATCCTTGTAGGAGCAGCAGTCAACCATCATCTCTCCAGAACTTTCTCTCAGGAGAGAAACGGAATGGGGGCCAAGTGGGGGAGGGGGTCCCGGGCAGTGCTGCTCCCCAAGGGGACCTGAGGATCTGCTGGTTCGAGGGATGAGCACCTGGATTAGAATTTCTCTTTAACTAAAATCATCCTGTAACTTGCTTTCTTATCTTGACTCCCAGGCCAGTATCTATAGACCTGTCAGTGACTTCTCAAATGTGACACTTTTCAGGATGTGACTCTGCCAGGCCACTTAGCTGTTCCTGAACTGTCACTATCATTCTTGCTGCTGCCATGACATCCTGTGGAAGTCCCCTAGCGTGATGACGCTATTTCTCCACGGTGGCTACCAGGAAGTACATAGGGTGGTGGTGTTACTTGTCAAACTACCCTCCAGGGCAGCTATCGCAATTTACACTCCCAGCAGCAGCAGAGGAGACTTATCAAGTTCCCCAAACCCTCACCAATGCCGGACACCAAATTTTAAAGTGTCTCCCAATCTTATTAAGTGAAAACTGGTGTGCCATTGGAGTTGCATTTGTCCGAATTCGTGGATCTGCATGGTCTTAGAACCTTCCAGCCAGAACACAGACATCCGAAGAGCAGGACAAGGTCTTCTTCCTCTCTTCTCTTTGCGGCCCTAGAATAGCTCTGGCCATAAATTAGGTGTCCAGGCAATGGCCTGTAGATGCCTCAAAAGTTATGGTGAGGAACAAGGTTTTATGTGGCTCTTTATTCCTAGCACTGACAGCATTTGGCAAACAGGAGGTACTCGGTAATATCAAAATGAAAAAAGTGATGTCCAGGAGGTGCAGCTGGTGAAAGCAGCAGCTGGTCTAGACGCCACCATGGACATGGGACCGAGGTAACAGGAGACTGGTGCAGGTACCACGTGAGCTCACGGTACAGGATGAGATGTCCATCCACTTCTTTGTTCCCAGGCTCCCCCTCCCCCTGTCCCTGTCTTGTCTGTCAGAGTCTATGAGGACCCGTGGGTCTAATTTTCTGACAGAAAAGACAGTGCGCCCGTCCTTTCAGCTTGAAGAGCAACCAAGAAGTCCTCATAAGCCCTGGAGTCTCCAAGCCCCATTCTCCTTTGTCCTACCCCCAAGAGCTCCCCTGAGAAATGCCCTCTCTCTGTCTGGGAGAGGCCGGAGACAGACACAAGCTCGGGGCAACAGGCTTGGCTGAGCAGCAGCTCTTAATTTCCCAGCTCGCTGTGCCCAGAGCCCAGCTCTTAATTTCACAGCTCGCTATGCCCAGAGCCCAGTGCTGACAGATGCCACCAATAAACACAGCTCAGTGGCACCAGGAGAGGCTAAAAATGGCCTCTTCCCCAGCATGCATTCACCAGCCCCACTGGCCATCTGCACACCCCAGGGCTCTGGGCTGGTTTTGTGCACGTGTGTGTGTTTATATAACAGTTCTATTGTGATGTCATTCAGATGCTGTACAATTCCCCATTTAAAGTACACAAGTCAGTGGTTTTCAGTATGTTCAGAGCTGTGCAAACATGACCACAATCCGTTTTAGGACATTTTTATCACTGCGCTCATTAGCAGTCACACTCTGGGCTCGTTCTTGTAGGGGCTTGTGGGCTTTTTCAACGAGCAGACAGTAGATGCCCCAGGAAGGGTGGCACATTTATGGCCAGAAAGTAGGGACAGCATGTCCTGGCATCTGGGGACTGTGCCTGGAGAGCTCATCTCCCTCCCTTCAGGACACCTTAGCCATGTTTCCACATGTTCATGATGTATGTGCAGCAATCACTGTTGACCCCAGGCTGTTTCTGGCTTTGAGCTTCAGGTCATCGGGCAGTGGGGAATGGCTTCTACATAGAGGCTCTCTCCCTCCCCCGCCACCCCTACACCTCTGTGTCCTAGGAAAGGCCCTTGGGAAAACCAATCAGAGATAGGCATTGGTGGCGTGGCTTGCCAGAAAAGCCAACATGATCCCCAATTCATTACTGCCCCTGACCCAGAACTAACGGTAGAGGACATCTGCCGTTTTGCCTGTCAATCGCTCCCCATTCTGGTTCCTGGCCTCCTCTCAGGGAACCACCTCACCCCCACACTCTGGGTGGCTGGGGTAGAGCTAGGGATGGTATCTGGGCACATGACCCAGAGCTAGCCAATCAAAGCTCTGCATCCCTCTGGCCACAGTGATTGGTTCAGGGATGAGCATGTGACCTGAGCCTAGCCAATCAGAAGCCTGTATCAAGACTGCTGCTGGACATGTAGAAGAAAGGCCCTCTTTCCTCTGGGCTTGCTGATCTGGTGGGATGCTGGCCTGGGCTGCTGGGAGCCAGTGCAGGGGACAACTGAAGAGGGAGAAGGAGGGGGGGGGTCTGTTAACACTGAGCCCTCGTGACCTCCCTGAATTACTTATATGCTCCCGTAAATCTCCCTTCGTGTTTACTCCCATCAGGTGGTTTTCCATTATTGGCAAAATTTACAAGTTGACTTGCTTATTGCACTAGTTGAGCTAATGAGCTACATCTCACATGGGGAGGCTCCATCCTATGATGAGGGCGTCCCCCCAAACCCCCCAACTCTCTAGGCCAGCTTCCCCCAAAACACCCATAATTCAAGTCTCCAATGCAAGTGGGAACAGGACTAAAGAGAGTCAGTCAGACCAAAACTGAGCAGCAGGCCTCCAGTAAGCACATATGGCTCAGGTCCAGCTGTCCTTGGAACGCTGGTATGGCCCCAAGGACCTTCCCTCATTGCAGAGTTTGGGTTCAGTTCATTTCTGCAAAGGCTATGGGGTGTTTACTGGGTACCAACCCTGAGCCCCTGAGCTGGCCCTGGGACGCTTCAGAGATGAGAAAGGTAGCGTTCATCTCAGTCCAGACCCCTCCCTCCTCCTCACTGTGCTTTCTTGAAATGGTTTCTTAGCTATTCCCTAATAAGGGCCAAGTGTGAGGGGAAACCTCCCACGTGTCTCCACAGCCCACCCTCAGGAGAGAAATCAGCTCTGAGAAGGAGATGGGGGAGGATGGAGGCTAAACATCCAACAGATGTTGAGGATGAGTCACAAGCTTGAATCACCCGGATTCGTCCACTTGCTGTGCCTCACGCCCCCACAAATTGGCCGCAACTCCCGCAGTCGTTCCAGAAGACGAGGCACCTTTACAGGCCCATCCCACTCACTCCACACTCCCCACCACCAAAATATCTGAATCTGTGCCCCAGGCCAGAGTCGGGAGGCAGGTCTGGAGCAAAGGTGCCATTACAACCTGAGATTCCTGAAGCATATTTTCGGTGAATGGTCTTTTTAAAAACCGCTATGAGTGCTCCCAAAGGCTCAGAGCGTGCGCATCTTGGAGTCCCTAGCTCAGTGTCTGGCACTTAGAAGATGCTCAATAAATGTAAGATGACTGCACACAAAGCTTTGCATGACAAGTTCAGAAACAACTCCTCCTGTGTCCCATCAGAGTACCAGCTCTAGGGAGGCCCCTGAAAAGGCCCCACTAAAGTGTCAGGCAAATGAGAGCTTTGGAACCCCACTTTCCCTCTTTGGTCCCCTCCCCTGTCTTCCAGGTGTGTCCCACACTTGCAGGGACCTCCACTCAGTCCTGTTCCCTCCTCTTGGGTAACCGCCCATCCACATGTCATACCAGAAAAAAGCTGACCAGAATAACCCTTACTAAAGTGTTAGTGACCATTGGAGGTGCAGCATGCCCTGAACACTCTTTGTATGAGTCCATCAGAAGGAGGAAGCGCCAAGTATGACAGCAAGCCCAGGCGTGCAGAAAGAGAATTAGTAACAAGAAAGACTCGCCAACTGCCCTGGGCCCATTTCCCCACTGTGTACTGTCCTGGCTCCCCTCCAACCACACCCAAAAGCAGGAAGATACTGTTCACTACAATTAAGGGAACTACAAATGTTATTCATTTGGTAAGAGCTTCTACTTCAGTGTTTCCCAAAGCATGGGGCACGTACCACCAAGTTTTAGATGGCACTTGAGTGTAACACTAAATGATACTGAATCACACAATGAGAAGTCATCTTCTCCATTCTTTCCATTCTCCTAAGTCAAGCAGAGAGTCTTGGTTAAATGCTAGGACATCTTTAATGCCCCTGGAGGTCTGCTCATCTCCCTTCATACACATGTACACACACCTGAGAGAGAGGGCAGGCCTCAGGCTCAGGGCCTTCAGGAAGCAAGAATGACTGACTTGAGTAAATTAGACAATGAAAAAGTATGTTTACACCACTTCCTCCTCTCTGCAACTGATCCTGGTTTTCCATGTATGGTGGTGAAATAAATTTCCTTTTAAAGTAAATTAATATTTATTTAAGCAAAAACAAAAACAAAAACAAAAAGGAGATGGCTGATTTAAAATGGGAGAAAATTACCATCCAGGTGATACAAAACAACATGGCAAACCGGTGTGCAAGGGGCAAAGAGTGGGTGCAGTTTGAGAAACACTGATCTTTTCTAAAGGGCTACAAACTACAGGGCTGCGCCCCTCAGAACCGCCGCTCCCCTGGTCCTTACCTCCTGGCTCTACATTCGGGGTAAGGCCTCGCAGGGCGAGGGTCTGCCATAAGAGACCGCTGGGCAGAAAAGTGAGAAGGTGGCAAATTACTTGGGTGCCTGGCAAACACCCCAATTTTAAATACACAGCTCCTGGCTGTTCCTCACCAGCCCCCAAGGAAGCAGGGAGCGGGGAGGGTTGGGAGGCTGTTACTTTTTGTTTCAGGGATAAGAATGGTGTGCAGAGGAGCAAGTGCATACCCCAGAAAAACACCAGACCTGTGGAAAATGGGTCCTGCAAGTGGCGAGTCGTTGGTCATAGCTCAGTCCCAAGACTCTCATCTCCCTGTGGGGGACCGTCCACTTTTCTCATCAGAATCCATTCATCCTTCTGGTGGCAATACCCTAATTTTCCTCTGGGGAACCACTCCTCACACTCAGCTTCTGGATGTCCAGTGATGGCCCTGGCATGGGCACAAGGCTCACAAACAGGCAATCACAGCAGTGTGTTCTCTGGTCACAGTGATTGGCTCAGAGACAGGCATGAGATAAATGAGTGCCAACAGGACCCAGTGAGACTCTTGGAAGAGGAGAGTGTGCCCTATTTTGCTGGGAATGCTAGAAATAAAGAGGTGAGCCTGGAGCTGCTGGGTGCTCCTACCTGGAACCTGGGAATAAAGATAACACAGTAGAAGGCATAGGTAGAGAGACAGAGAGAAAGTCAGCCCTGAAGGCATGATCTGAGCACCTGGATTAAGCCTTACCTGAAGTCAGTCCCAATGGACTCATTCCTTGGTAAGAGCAAATAAATTTCCTATTGTGTGAAGCCTGTTTGAGTTAAAGTTTCTTGGAAACAAGAAAGAGAAGACTGACCAAACAAAGCAAGGAAAGTGGGAGCAGCAGACACAGTTTTCCTCCTCCCTGGGCCTGAAGTACCGCAATACCCACCCGCCACCTGCCACCCCTGCCGCCCAAGGGAGGCAGGCAGGCAGGTTCAGGGTGACAGCCCTCACCTCCGTGACACCGTTCCCTCTGGCTCCCCCTACACCCCCACAGAGCCAGGCCCCCAGTTACCTCGAGCCATTGCTGATGAGAATACTCTCCCGAATCGTCAGGGTGCAGTAATACCACACCAGCAGGAAGTTGAAGACTTCGTCCGTCACCCTAGTGTAGACAAACAGCCCCGGGGAGCGGGGCAGGCATGAGCACCAGGGACGGTTGCCCCCCCCCCCACAATTGAACAGCGAACCAGGACAAGACACGCCAAGCACAGGCGTGCCTCCGGACGTGCCTGGCGACCCCGGGAAGGCAGCGGTGGTCTCTTCCCCACCTAAAGTGCCCGTCTCCCTCCTCACCTCTCCGCCTGACTCTTACCAGCCCTGAAGGCTCTAGCTGAGGTTCCCTCTCCTTCCCTGACCACGACAACCTGTCTCTCTTCTAAATTCCTACGGAAAGACAGGAAATTTCTGGCGGAATGGCAATAGAAAGACTTTAAGCAGGAAACCTAATATGCTATTTTAAACCGTCTGCAGTGTTAATACATAAACTTCCTCCAACACCTGAAACCATCTGTAAACTTTGTTGTACATGCAAAAAGATTCGTATGGTCTCAACTGTAAGATGAACTTAAGAACCCCCTCCCTGCCTCCTCTACGGTGACCAAAGCCTGCAGCTGGGCAGAGCTGGTCCTAAAGGAGAACAGAATAGGGCCGCTGGAGTCGTGAGGTGCCCTGGTCAGAGGGGAGAGCCACAGACACACTGTGTGTGGCCCTGCCAGAGGCCTGCCTGGCCTCAGCTTTGCCATCTGTACAATAGGAAGGCTGACCCCTCTGTAGGCACTCCTGGGTGAAGGATCCCGGGAGAGAGCCTCTAGCAGACAGCCCCTCAGACTGACGGGGAACTCAGCGAAGGCTCTACCTTCTAGCAGGAGGCACCTCTGTACCTCCTGGTGTCACATACATCCACTCGGTGTGGGGACAGAAATGACTGTGCAGGGGACGGAGGACACCCCGACCTCCTCCATTTCTCTCCCCAGACTGGGAGATCCTTTTCCCCAACTATAAAGGCCCTGGGAGGGAAATGGGAGGACACAACTTTAACAATAATAAAAGACGCTGGGAGACGTTTGGGAGGGGTTGAGAGAATGAAGATGACAGGCTCCTATTTCATTAAATGTGTAAAGTCCCCAAAGAAGGGATGACATTTGAGCAGGAACTTAAATATATGGAAATGTGCTTTCATTAGAATTGGTAATAACTAAATTTGACCTGTTGAAATGGATACATGTACATAGTATGCTCACTTATATTGTTCCACTTTTCATTTCATAGACAATTAAAGCATAAATGCTACACATTGCATAAATGTGTATATTAACATATTTGTTTAAAGCTTAGATCAAATAATCAATTTGATACACTAAATGCTATCCTAAAAAAAAGACATTGGGAGGTGTCTTTTAAGCTATGTGACCCTGTTTCATGGTCAGAGACGACAGACTACCAACCCCACTGAACCCTCACCCACAGAGGCGATCTTGGGAGGGTCAGGGACAGACTGGAGACATGGTCCCTGAGTTCAAATCCAGACTCTTGTCTCTTCCCAGCTGTGGGACCAAGGACAAGTGAGTGGTTCTCCCACCCTGTTACTTCTCCATCTGTAAGGTGGGGAGAGTCACAGCACCTCCTGGGTGGGCTGCTGGGAGCATTAGCTGAATTGAGTACGGAAAGTGCTTAGAACCGTGCCTGGGCATAGGAAGCGCTATGAATTCCCTGTCATAATAATTTTGGAAGCACCACAGAGTGTCCAAAGTTCAAAAAGTGAGTCCCAGATGCCTAACTCTGAGGAAATCAGAAGCCTACTTGACTTGAGCAGGAAACAGAGGAGAGGGGACGGTCTCCCCGTGCAGTCACTTAGATAACTCCAGGCAAGAGACAGGCCCGGGAGCGACTGCGGGTTCCCAGGGTATTTTCCACTGGAGACAGGGGTGGGAATAGAGTTTTACGGCCCCGGCACTTCAGGGACATGCTTGAGGTGCCGGTCTCAGTCTGCTCTGCCAGAGCATGTGAGTTTTCTGTTGCTGGGGTCACAAATGAGCACACGCTCAGTGGCTTAAAGGAACACACACTTACTCTCTTACAGTCCTGGAGGTCAAAGTCTGAAACAGGTCCGCAGAGCTATGTTCCTTCTGGAGGTTCTAGGGCAGAATCCATGTCCTTGCCTTCGCCAGCTTCCAGAAGCCGCCTGCCTTCCCCACAGCACAGCCCCACGTCACTCTGACCTCTGCCTCTGTCATCACACCTCCTCTGACTCTGACCCTCCTACTTCCCTCTTACTGGGACCCTTATGATTATACTGGGCCCTCAGATAATCCAGGATAATCCCCCTATCACAAGATTCTTAACTTAAATCATCTTCAAAGGCCTTCTGCCACATAAGGTCACACCTTCGCAGGTTCTGGGGATCCCAACATGCATATCTCTGGGGACCGTATTTCAGCCTGCCACGCTGGGCCAGCACCAGTGACTGGGAACTTGCAACACTGCAGGCATTTTACACAGACCATCTCTCTGGATCCTTGAACAACCTACAGGGCTGGCTCCCGCGGCAGATGCACTGACCCTATCCAGGCCTGTCTGCATGACTTCCAACAGCCAGAACCAGAGCTCACTCTGCTGGTTGAGAGGCAGATCAGGAGGGTGAAGGGTGGAGATTAACACTCTCTGGGAGTCACTCCTCTCTTGATTGACAGCAGATGAAGGAACAGGGGGTTAGATAAATACCTCTGCTCCCTCACCCCTTGGTTGGGATAAACTAAGGCATGCTCTACGCTGTTCCCTAGCAGCACTGAACTCCAGGTGCCTCCCCCACCTCACTTCCATTTCCCTGCCAGTGCTTCCCAGGATCACCTCCTGAATAAACTACTGGCACTCGATGCTTATCTTGGGGGGTCTCTTCTGGGGGAATCCAAATTCAGAAAGTCCTACTTCCCATTTTACAGATGAGGAAACTGAGGCCCAAGGATAAGCTGCCCATCCAGCCCCTCTTCCCCTGCCCTATTTTTAACCCATAGAAGGCGTAGTGGGTTGAAGAGTCTCCCCTCCCAAATTCATATCCACCCAAGACCTCAGAATATAACCTTATTTGGAAATAGGGTCTTTGTAAATGTAATTAGTTAAGATGGGTTATACTGGGTTAGGGTGGGCCCTAAATCCAGTGACTGTATCCTCATAAGAAGACCATGAGAGAGACACAGAGGGCAGGTGGCCATGTGACGACAGAGGCAGAGACTGGAATCAAACAGCTTTAAGCCAAGGGAACAGCAGGACTGTGGGCCACCGGGAGCCGGGAGAGGCAAGGCGGCGTCCTCCCCTAGAGCCCTCGGAGAGAGTGCGGCCCTGCCAACACCTTCACTTCAGACTTCTGGCCCCCTAGAACAGGGAGAGGATGTATTTCTGTCGTTTTGAGCCCCCCAGCTTGTGGTGCCTTGTGACGACAGGCCAGGAAAGGAATCAGAAAGGACTGGGGCGAAATGGAGACGCCAGGCCCTCAGGGAGCCTCAGAACTTGACAACCACCGCAGGTTTGCCCTTTGAGGCCCCTAGAGGTCCCAGCGCAAGGAAATCTGGTTGCACATCAAGAACGTTTACCCCTTCCAGGGGGCGTGTGAGCAGGCATTACTAACGTGAGCAGCCTTTGCCCTCCAGGGAGACGGGCCAGGCCTGAGGCAGCAGGCGGGCACGGACCCAGGGCCTGAAAGGGCCTTTGGACGCTCAAGTGGCCAGTCCAGCAACAGGACTCCTGGCCAAGCACCTGCCAGGAAATAAACCCTTGACACTTGGGCCAAATGCCAAAGCCATACTTGGCTGCCTCCCCTCAGGGCAGAAAACCCGGGGCCAGAGGGGAAAAGGAAAGCTCCTGGGGCAGCAGAGCGAGCTCACTGGCCTCGTCCTGCTTGAACAGAGCAGCTGTCCTCTGAGCAGCACCACCAGGTGCCAGGCGCGGGGTGTAGCCACACACGGGGTTAACGCACTGAACTGTCGCAACAGCCCAGTGAGGCAGGGCCTGCTGACACCTTCGTTCTACAGATGGGGAGACTAAGGCACCCAGAGGGAACCCGCCCTTGGCAACAGCCAGTAAGTCTCAAAGTCAGGACCAAACCCAGGAGGTCTGTGGTCCATCTATCTCATTCTTTCTTCTCTTTTCATTTTCTTCTTTCCTCTTTCTTCCTCCCCTCTTTCTTTTTGTAACTGAGATATAATTCATACACCATAAAATTCACACTTTTCAAGTATGTAACTCAGTGGTTTTTAGTATATCCACAGCATTGTGCAATCATTACCACTATCTAGTTTCAGAACATTCTCACCACTCCACAAAAACCCCTGCATCCCTTAGCAGTCACTCCCCATTCCCCTCCTCCCAGCCCCTGGCAGCCACTAGCCCGTTTTCCATC